CGTATTTAAAAAACTGGTGATTACACCACATATAGAAATGCTGGAATAATTTGTTTGAACTGGTGTGAAAGCAAAAGTTTATCCAACCATCTGGAGTGACTCAATTGCTGAGGCAAAATTCGGCAAGTGAAGTTGCATTATTGGTACCATCCCCGAGGCACCCAATTGAATTGGATAGTGGAAGGCTTTCTGAACTCAATGGTACTTCAACTGATCTTTATTGAGCAGAAGTGCAAGTTGGGAAAAGAGCAGTCGTACTTTCCACCCGAAGATGCGGCAGACGCGGAGTAGTTGTTACACGTACCGCCGGCCGACTACATCTGTGTTTCTCCATTCCAAGTCCATGGACCCATCCTCTTCTGGATTTGAGTCAATAAATGCAGCACTGAGATGGAAGCAGGGGGTGCTTAAGTCGATCCCTCAGTACATGCAATGCAGATGTTCCATTAAATCAAATTATTTATGACATGGGCCATTACCAGTAATTTTTGTTATTCCCCGAGTCCATCGTCTCAGTCCAGGATTAATCTCGGCACTTTTTGGACCGCAGAAGTAACCATACCCTAAGCTTGCTGTGGGAGAACGCAACCAACGGTTGATGGTTAACTTCGTAAACATAAGGTCATTAAGTTCTTGGAGCAAACCCTGGCCTTAGTGTCCACAGTTAAACGTTCGGTTTCTGATTTCCCAGAATGTCTATTCCGTACTATGACTCGCTTGAAACTAAAACGCGTCCATTCCGAGCACAAGGGCTGTATTTTGTGAAAAAACTAGCCAAAGCTGTGAAGCAATGTGTTTGAAATTATGGGATGTTCTCTCAAGGAATTTCGGTTGCACGTTAATTACGCTTTGCACCTTATTGTCTATATGTCTGCGAAATCGGATCATAATATTTGTTCGACTGCTTACAACAATTAAAATAATAACGTTTGTTACTATCGCTGTTATTACTGCTAATAAGATTATGAGCACACTACTGCTAATTGGACTGCTCCTGATGAGTGTCAACTGTCATTCTAAAGACAGGCAGGACCCTAACCTGTTCCTGTTTCTACCAATACGCATGCTAACCATCAGAGTAACCTGTTCAAACTAGGTGGTGATAAAACAACCATTGGTAAGAAATACTGTGCGCAACGCTTCACATGTTCTCTTGGTCGATCAAGCTGACCGTTGTAGAATCAAGGCTTGACACTGTGCCAAATATCGCGGCATAAACGGTGACGAGTTTCTCAGCAAAGCAAGTAAGCTGACTTAATTTTAACCATAGTACAATTGAAAAAATTTGAAAATGCATGTGGCACATATTGTGAAGGCGTAGATGAAGTCACCTGAGTGCTAGACAATTACAATGCAACGGTGTATTTTCAGTCTGTTCTGCCTAACATCGACGTGCATATTAAAAGTGGCCCATTCTGATTAGACATAAAAGGCAAAGTCTCCACAGCAGCAATGAAATTTTTCCGATAATTTAGGGATCAGCAGCGTTATAGGAACAAGCGTGAGTTAAGAGCTACAACCAGGAATATCGTCTACGTTTCGTAATAGACAGCATCCTTACTGCATCATCTGCCAATTACTCAGCAAACCCAGTGAAGTTACTCTACGTTTGTTCCTCTACTAACACTAAATTGAGTTGCTAAGTCACCCTGTATCGCTGTACTTTCAGAGATAGCAACCCCAAGGGCATTCCGTTGACATGAGGCCTACATAATAGGTTTAACCCAACCTCATGAATAAGACCTGCAAACTCCGAATGAAATTACTTTCCTGCACCTGATGCGTTATTCTCATTGGTTCATGTAATGCTTCTATTCCCAGGTAGTTCACACGCTTTTCTCGCCGTAGGTCGTTACATTCTTAAACCAGTAGAGTCATACATTCGCTGCATTTTCATACACTTTAGGTCTCAAGGTCACAGCTTCATAAGTCCACTACTAACACACTGTTACCGTTATCCTTTCCCTCTCGCTGCCCACACATTGCAAAGCAAATCGTGCGTTCTGTCATATGTTTATTATTTTGCCCGTTAGAATCCTTGTTACAAGATTCTAATACAATTCATCTCTCCCAACCTTTTTCTGACCAGATCATGGGTATGATCGAGGTTTATGGCTTAAAGTAGCATTAGTTGTATGCGTTTCGTGCGATGGTATTGGGTTTCGCGTAGTTCCATTGATACAGGCCCTACGCGTTTTATGAAAGACTGTAGCGTTGGGTCCCTTGTCAGCGTAGTCCCATAAGTCTAACACTTTGTATTACATGTCCCACAACACCGTGTCAACGAAATATTTCGTAAGAGTATCGATTGACCTGCCGATGGGACCAGAGCAACCTGGCATTCACATTTTACCTTATTATATGGCGACATACAGTCCCAACTTTACATTTAGAGCAAGCTATACCTTTGCTTGGCATGAGTACTCGCTGTAGGGAATGACCTTGGTATGGCAAAAGATAATAAATTGAATATTATGTTAGCACAGTCACCTTTCTGGATATGTTTGACACCCTGGATGCCAAAGGTCCCCAAAGGTCAAGCATGCTGCTATGGGAGAATCAGTCACTTTATCTGCCTATCTTGTTAAGCTTAAAGCCAATTGAATAAGACTTTGAGGAAGAATATGCTCAATATGAGTACTTCTCAGCATGACCATAACGAAGAACCATGAGTAATACCTCTCGGTAGGTCAATTAACATGATGCCAGCTCAAGAAAAATTGGTGCACAATGCTCGCAATTAGGTCTTGTGAAACGAGTGCATTTCAAACGCTCCTTCCTGGTCATTTGAATGAAGCGTACATATTGAACTCGTACACGAAGGTGATTGAGCATTGACACGCTTCGTGATAGAACAACAAGCGGGAGTTTAGTAAAGTGAAATTCTAGCGCGCCCATCTTCCTTAAACACCAGTATCTTCTTAGTGTTCAAGAACCAAGGTAACGGGATTAAATGGTTACCTTCGACATAAATAGTTTGCGCTGATCACCATTTAAAAGTGAACATTTTTAGTCAAAGCACACGTTTCGCCGCTCTAAATGTATGTCGCGGATATGCTGGACACCTTTGGTGCACATATGTTCAGCGCGGACTCGCTGTCAAGCGCTCACCAACCAGTACTTGAGGATAATCCGGAAGAGTTCGAAGCAGTAAACTTAGTACAAGATCTTGCAGTGACGCAAAATGGTCTGAATGAAATAAGGTGCAACACAGAGAAGGAGGCAACGTCTGCAGATTTGCGAGAGCTTATTACAAGTGATTGGTCAGAAACGAAGCAGCTGCCGAAGGAGCAAACACCCTATTTCGATTTTCGTGATGAACTATTTGTCTATGCTAGTGTGTTGTTCAAGGGAAGCCGTATTCTGATTCCGTCATCGCTCCAAGAATAAATACTGTAATACGTTCATCGCGCTCATCTGGGTACCAAGTATACCATTAACGGAGCAATAGAATTGATCTTTTGCCAGGAATGACGGGTCAAGACAGAGATCATGTGTCGAATTGTGAGGCGTGCCGTTCAACCGAAATCCGGCAGACGAGGGAAGCAATATTGCTGCATGATGTCCCTGATCGATATTGGCAGAAGTTGACGGTGGATTTATTCTGTGACAACGGGAAGGAGGACCTACTCACGGTGGATTACTACAGTGCTTATTTTGAAATCGATTCCTTCACCACCAACACAACAGAAGCAGTACTCAACGAGCTCAGATGACAAGTCGTCTGACACGGAAAACCGGAAGAGCAGGTCTCCTACAATGGTTCTTAGTTTACTAGCGCTGCGTTCCGGGCGTTCGCAACCAAGTGGGAATTCGTGCACCAGAAATCCAGCCCATATCACAGCCAGTCAAATGGAAAGGCAGAGTCAGCAGTAAAGCAGGCCAAAGACTGTTGTTAAAGGCTAGAGCTGCTGGCGAAGACCCGCACTTTATGCTACTGGAGAATCGCTACACACCTTCAACGGACATCGGCTTGAGCCCAGTGCAGCGCATATACAGTCGAATGACTAGAACGATGATGCCGACATCTGCCACCCTGCGCCTAGTATGGCCACAGCATGACAAGTTACAGAACTATCTGAGAAGACGAAGGACCAACAAAAACGGTACTATGACCGCGGTGCACAGACGCTGTCTGAGTTAACAATGGTGAAGTATGACTGGGTACAACCAGCACCCAATGATCAAGTGCGATGTGAAGAAAGGTGTTATTAGTGCAAAGGTCGGGGCAATGTCATAGGAAATAAATGTTGGAGGAAATACGCTCAGAAGAAAGCGAGTGCATTTGAGACGACAACGGAGACAACAAGTTGGACTGGAAGTGGAGCGTCCGATGGCGTCCGAAGATGACTCGGTGTGACAATATGGATGCACAAGGACATGAAAAAAGAGACGGTGTGCTGGCAGTGTCATACCAGAGTGAACGGACGGTCCAACCGAGCGAGCCAGATAGCCAATGGGAGGTGCGTGTAACTGATTTGATGGCTGGACATGGATTGGCCGACTTTCATGTGAGTTAATCATCGTTTGTCTAACTGAGTCAAAAGAAGTACCTCATTTCCTCATAAGGGTTGTTAGTTATGGACGTGACGGAGTTAATATCGAGCAGGTTGTCTTGCCAAACGCGCTGTAATTTTCTCCCAGTTGTCTGTTGAATAAACGCTTGTCCCGGAAGGACTGAGTTCTGCAACAACGTGCACAGCCTCCTTCGTTTTGCATAACAACAGTACAATCAGTGGCCTATCTGGGACAGCCTCTAAACTGCAATCTGCGTTCTTTCCCATATTTACCACTGCCATGACTTGGTCTCTGTATATTCTTCAATCAGTTTGTTTAAATACAATTTAAGGATTTGTAAAGCATAAACACTACCAACTCTACCGGTTACTGAGAAGTTAGAAGGTTACATCCGCCTCTGGTTCATGAGGATGTGTAGTTAGCAGCACTAAGGCGACAACAGCGCATAACCTTAGCTCGAAAATACCCCCGCAACTACTCACTTCAGACAAAGCATTTTGTCGAGTTTACCGCTGGGCAGAGTAGTAAGTTGCCTTCCGTCCAAACGCATTCGCTTCGCTTCCTCGAGGCACCCACCAGGCAGGCAGGCGTATTCCGTTAGCCAGTAAAGGACCTGATCTGAGGACCAGCAGAGGGGCGGAAGATGACAAACTGTTACCTCCGGCGGATCCAGATGATCTTCTTCGGTAGGGAAATGGATACCATTCGGTGTTGGTGTTGCTACTGACTTGTACATCTGTTGTTTGTTTGTCACCCGTACCTCCACAGGATTTCTCATCCATTCGGGGTTTGTACTTGCTGAAGCATACAAAAGGGACTTCTAGTACAGAGTGCCATAGAAACAAAGAATGCGACTCAGTCGAATTTCATGGATATTGAAAACGCTCTGAGGTTTCGCGTCATCAGGTTCCCGGTTTACTTTACCTGGATGACTATGATTCCTGCATCAGCATGTAAGGGAAACCATTGCCATGGCAATGGTCGACAGAGAAATTATGAAAATTGTCGCGCCAAAATTAACAGAATAACTATGTTGCTAAACGAAAAGGCGGAATGTTACTTTAAAATTACGTCGTACGAGGAATAAAACACATAAGGCAAATAAATAATACAGAGGAGCATGAGTTCAAAACAAAGGATAGTGTAGCCGATTACTGATCCCAACGATCGTAAGGACCTAATAAAAGGTGGCACACAGCAAAAGCAAACAAGTGGTGTGTTGGCAAATTTCACCTACACCGGTCGCGAGACAACCGCTGGATTTTTTCAATTCCTATTGAAATAGAGTGTTGTAAAGCGTCGTAGTAGGACAAAACTATCAAAACAGTCGATTCTGAGGGAAGGTTGCTAGGCCACGAGCGCGAAATATAAAGCTGGAGTGACGATGAATCATATCCCGAATGAAATCCTTCTCACAGGCAGCGGCGCTGCTTTGGAGCTTATCAAGACGGAAACAGTCACATAGCTGGTGAAAAGAACCAATCGACATTTTGTCCTGTAAGTTCATCTGATTTGTAAGCCACAGATATTACTTAAACAATTAAAGATTAAACCCACTTTATCACTAAAGGGACTTTTGCTTAAATCTTAAACTGCCACTACTGCATATAGTTGATTAGATGAGCAAAACTATTTTTAGTGTAAATTCAAAGCAGACCAAATACACACCAAATGGTCCATTTCGGCTCCATCCCCATCTCTGAAACGTTGTAACATTATTGTGTAAGATTTCGTATTGAACAGCAAACCCATGATAGTAAATCTGGTCGAATGCGGTGAAAGTGGACGAAGGGATTAACTGACAACACATTCCGTAGAACTTCATATGCTATGTGAACCGAATGAAGAGTTCCAGTTGTCAAAATTGGTTGAAGTAAGTACATAATAAGCAGAGTAGATGGTTACCGCTTAACGGACCGAGTAAGAAATCAACATCTGTGTTACTGACGCACACAACCGGATAGCATACACAGTTACGTTTTTCCAATGTATGGGAATATATAAACTGCTTAATTTTAGCCAACAACTCGACATCCAATTTCATGAAAGAAGCGTTTCAAGCATCATGGGCTATGGCACTTGGTTAGTAGCGCTAGGAAGCGTTTGTCCCCGACGTCATGCTAAACAGTCATGGCCAACAGGCGTTTAAGTAAGATAAGTATTCGCTATGTTGACTGAAGGCAGCGAGTTAAAAGACAAAAAACTGCAATATTTCTTACTTGAATTTGTTACCTAACTGATTCGGATGACCATGTGACTGTCCTTTATTGTTTCATCAATGTAACCGAGAGACAACTTTTACCAATTTGAACCGTAGTGTTACCGAACAGATGGATGGCAGCTGTTGCATGTCTTATAGTAATAAACTCCAGACGGATCTCAGCCAGTTGTCTAATGCATTCACGATCCTTTCATGGAGTTTCGGTGTGCAATCAAAGTTTTGCTTGGCATCGTTTATCGGACATTGACAAGAGACATAACAGATGTTCCTTATGTCATTTGCGGATGATAAAGAAAAGGGTGTCCATGTTCTGTTTGGCTAGCAAATGTAATGACTGGTCGCCGTAACTGGGGCTGTATCTGTGCTTGTCACTGGTTGTTGGCTGACAAGTAACAACATTCTCTACATTATGGTTGCTTATGCACAATTGAAGTGCTTCCTGGATGTCTTTTCAACGCTTCACAATATTTCCACTATTATCTATACAATAAAACCCTCTCCGCTACCGCTTGAGCTTCAATAAGGTGCTATTTGATAGAGATCAGCACAAAAATTCTAACACCTCATATATCGCTAATCAAGTGCCAGAAGCACTTTGTGACTAGTATGCTGATATGCACTTGGCCGTCAGTAGTGTCTAGTAGTTTATAGGCTCTCATACTACGAGTGTACCAGAGTAGTATGTTCTCAGTAGTGCGCAGAATGGCTGCAACCCGAGACATGAGCAACAAGCATTGGTCTAAATGGAGCAATTCGATCAGCTGAATAGACCTTGAGAAAATATCCCTAGTGAACTCCTGTCGGATCCCAAGACACTTCTGGTGCAGCCTACTACCCTTGTGTTACAAAACTAATCCAGAACTCTTGAGGAGATCCACCGAGTTCTCTGCTGCATTACTTTAATCAAAGATTTTAAACGGGAAGGAATATGAACCGTGCACATCAAAGATGAAGGGAGAAAAGGTGAATGATGATGCACAGTCTGGTATCACAATATCACATGTGTGAATTGAAGGCACTGAGTTTGATTCTTAAAATTCTGCCAGGTATTTCCTATCTGAGGATAGCAGTCAAGGACAAAAACAGGTGAGCCAATGCAGGCAAGAACAAATCTATCTATGTCGCCAAAATAAAGGTTGCCATCTGACTGGAAATGACCAAAGTTCCCTCTAAAATAATCAACGGTGCGACTTCAAGTGATAGATTGTAAAACCAGCGCGATACAGGTACCTCAAGCTATAATAACGAATTCCTACCCACCGTGTGGAGTATTGTGTTCGAAGCCTATCTGTTCAAGGTCGACTTTTAACCACGAGACTCATGGCCTGAAACCTATTCCAGAACATACCTGACAAACGGTTTTCGAATAGTTGTTATATATGTTTGCAAAATGAGGTGACGAGCCAAATCAAACTAGCCTTCTTGAAACCGACTTGTTGCCTCTTCAGCTATTTTATTCTCCTTATATACGTGTAAACATGACATCAAACAAAAAACAAACTAAAAACATGTGAATCAATCAGGCGGTTTGACTGTCCTGCTTCATACTGTCACATTTCCATCAGCCGACAATTAAGTGAAACATCCACCATAATACGGTATTAAGTTGCCCCGAATTATTAAAAACTGAAACACTAAATCTTGAGCGCACGATGAACGCAGATAAGGTTTTGATAGATACTTATGTAGTCGGTGCAAGCAGTCGCATAGAAACTTAAAGAAAAATTCATATATCATAGTGTTTATGAATAATAAAATAAAGATAGTCTCATTCTGTGACAAGTACTGTCTACAGTTAATTACACCTGCAACGTGCAGGCATACTTCTCCTGAAATTGGCCGTGAAAGTTGCGGACAGAACGACACAGCCGTTGGCGGAGAAGGTAACCACGGGAAAGCATATATAATAGACCGTGGTGTACAGAGCGCAGTATGAGTTTAACAGAATAAAAGCTAGTTTTCTAACTTCAGGCATAGTTTCACAAATACCAGCAGATCAAGAAAGGCATTGCGACAAACAGACAACAAAAAATCCGACGGTAGATAAACTAACCCTGCGCTAAGCGAAAAACCGGCGAACTAGTGGCAGAAACGTGCTGTTGATTCACTGCAGAACTGAATTCTGGTCGCACTTGGTGCAGTAATCTTTAGTTGCATTGGAAAATGTGAGCACTTAGTGAAAGCCTAAATCTGATCTTGTATGCAGTATCATACATGCGATTGAGATGTGGATAAGTGTACCTGGTTCGTCTCGTATTCACCAGTGATCACCGTTAAGAGTGTTCTCTAAAAAATAGTCTGGTGGCTGATACAGCGGTTTCAATTTCACCAATTCATATATAGTCGCAGTAAGATGAAGTCTGCTAGTAGCCTTTGTGCAGCTTCGAATGTTGTGGAAGTGGGCACTTTCATATCATAGATGGAACCAACACTGGTTATGGGCTTCAAACAATTTGATCTCACATACTGTGGACGTCAATGCCATTTAAAAACATTAGAACACCGCGACTTGCTCCGAGACAGCTGGCAGTTCTGAAATACCTTAGTAAACTTGGAATTAGATGACTTTTTGTTTAGAATGGTAAGCCATATTAAATGATGAGTGTTCGCAGTGTAGTGTTCACTACAATAACTGATGACTTCCCACTTGAGAGAGAATTGGAACACAGTGGGGCAAACACATACAATTTCAATAGGGCGAGCGTTTCAGCCTTAAAACTTTTGGTGACAAGGGCAGAGTAAAGCCAGCGGTGCACTTGTTGAAACATCAAAAAATATTCCGCTAGATTTTTTGTGTTTAATACGAATTGAGGTTGGTTTTAACACAAGAAGCGTGTTACTTGCCCACACGCAACGGAGGCATGGAGTGACCAATAAATTTTGGTGCACAAATATGACAGAAAGTGACCAAGTAAGACTGACTTCACAGCGACACGCTAAACCGTGTGAAAAATCAAAAATTACACCTACGGTTGATCACGGCCAATTTGGGCACGTGGTCTCTTTCTATCAGCCATCTTGTCTACCCATACTGGCTATCCAGAAGACATACGATTTTCATTCATACTGTAAGCACTCATGGAATTATGTCCAAACAGTATGAAACTGCATAACGATACTAACCACTGCAACGGCTAAACTGATAAGCTCTCGGATATAACTCACTTTTGACCTGCTCTGTTCAGTAACCAAGGCAACGCGGATGTTTGCGCCATTCCTAGCATACATGGGGCAATACAACCAGGGGTAAACTAGCCTACGCACTACACTTGTGACCGAAAAGGTGTTTGGCGCAAAAGATATGCAATGGAGTTAAAAGGCTGAGCAAATGGCCTCACATGTCTGGAAGCTCATTATGATCGATAGTCGCAAACTGACAACCTAGTGTCTACAGTAATAAATTCCCATTGGGCTTACACGCTTGACAGAGAGTTTCAGAATAAGTATTAATTCCCCAAATGGGTGTTCTAGCTGGAAATATCCAAGCCAACAGCTACCACATCACACTGAATATATGAAACTGTACTTGTCTGTCCAAATAGGATTATCAGCTCGAGACAGCACGTGTTTAACGGTC